GGGGGGGGGGGGGGAATCAAGTGGGCTGGCTCAGGGGTTGAAACAACACCGTGTTGAGTAGTGTACCAAAGCATTGTATATCAGCCGAAACTATGTGGAGTGCTCGGTGTGCGTGCCCCGCGCTACCTACTTCAAGTATGTAGCCTACTCCGTGTGCGGCTAGCTTTCTGGAAGCTCTAACCGCACTCTGTGTCCACAAGGACGGGTTCAACACGCATGTCGTGGTGTTTTTGGTTTGGTCCAAGCTGTTGCGGCATCGCCTGTCCGTGATAGAAGTTAAATGGTAGAGGTGGCGGAGGGCACACGGCCCGCTCCCGGCCTTTCGCGGTGGGTATGAAGAAACCATGCCGTCCCACAATCCTCCGCCCCACAATTATCCCGTCCCGTCCCATGCTTGGCCTGAACCTTTCAGGGCTACGAGCGGGTCAAATTCAACCAGCCATTGGCGGGCATGGCATGGCCGGCCTCCCTCAAGCAGCTCAGCGCTGGCCAGGCGTTTGATCAATCCTTGGAGGGCGCTGATTGGCCGGACACGCTCGAGGTACGGTACGGCAGTATGGTATGATGATATGCCATGATGTGACCCGTGTGACACGATATGGTGTGGTATGGTGTGTGGTATCGTACGATGTGTGGTTTGGTACGGTGTGGCGTGGTGATGTGCCGTGGTGTGATCGACGTGTGGTGTGGTAAAACGTATCAACATCGAGAAAGTTAAGCACCAGGATGAGCAGGTGTTGGCTCGTGGGCTTGACGCAAAGAGCTGCGGTGTTTGATGCCATGGTATCCAGGAAGAAACACTACGCTGCATTTGTAGACTACTCCATAGACCACGAGGGTGCCGCGCTTGGTAGGTTTTGATCAACCTCGTCACCAAGCTTAGCCTCTGGACACCTGGGTGTGACCGACGCATCGCGGGTGTGTTGTCGGCAGATTGCGGTGTCGATGTTGGTTGCCATATGGATTATTCGGTAGTTCGATCTCAACAAAACACCGTGCACGACAGAGTAGAGTGCTTGTAAGGTACTATGCATTTGGAAGTATCAGTGTCATAGAGGGAGACCGAACTTCCACGGGAGGCTTTTTTCTATTTACTGTATAGAAGTAGGTGGTCGGTGACATGACGCACATTGGTATGTACATGTCTTGGCGTTGACTGGAGGTATCCATCCGTAGCCAGACAGAAGGCCAAAGCGCCTAGCTCTATGTTTTTGCGCAGAAGATATCGCACCACTACCCTGGACGGATTTTCCAAGCCTCGATTACGCTGCAAGCCACGAAGGTGGCGGTCCCCACAATGCCGGCGTTGGAGCAGTCTGGTTACCGTGTTTTATCATTCAGAAAGCGCATCATTTGGCTTTGGCATCCCTCTCGTCGTGGAGTAGTCGAGCTTTGGAGTTGAAGGTCCAGGGGGGTGTTATCTTACGTATTCGATCTATTGTAGATGCTGTGCTCACACGCTCCGGCGTGCGTGACGTTACTGGAATTTTAACGCCATCTGCGATGCCACGGGGCGGCAGGTTATCAACATCATGGGGAGCAAGAAGCAGCCGGTGGAGGACATAGAATGGCCGCCCGGACTGAAACAGGTATTGTGACTTGTGACATGTTCGGAAACTCTTCTGACAATGACGAACGGAGTTATCGAGTGGTAATGTTCTTTTTGAAGAACATTGCAGGGGGGCTGTTGGTAGTGGTCAAAAAGTAGTGCCCCCTCCAAGGTTGGTGAAGTATCCGGTGCGATTTCTCTGTTTTTGAGGAATGGGCGTACTTGTCGACCAACGTGAACCATGAACCATGAACCATGTGGTGAGTGCTCCCGCCAGCGAGAGCGTTGAAGGGAATAGGGGATGTGTTTCGACCCTTCAGTAAGGTAGGTCTCGTGTGTCTGTCTATGTGTTTCGAGTCCTGCAGTCGTGAAGGATGACTGGCGTGGAGATGTGCTTCGATTCCTTCAATGATGAAGGCTTCAGTGTGTGTTTCCGTCAAGGTTGCACGCGGGTGTTTGTGTGTTTCAATTCCTTCATTTGGTGATGGGCTAGTGTGGTGATTAGTGTTTCGATCAGGTTGCACGTGGGTGTGTGTTTCAATTCCTTCAATGATGAAGGATTAATGTGTGTGTTTCGATTCCTTGAATGATGCAGTACTAACGTTGGTGTAGTGTTTCGATCCTTGAGGGGTGAGAGATCAACGCGGGTGTAATGTTTTGATCCTTCCGTAGGGAAGGTTTTGTGTGGAGATGGATGTGTTTCTATCCCTTCACCGGTGGACCTTTGACGTTGGGGTGGCCGTATGAAGCATGTCACACATACCAGCACATAATGTTCTTCGTGCATGGTGTATCTGTCGACCATCTCTTCGCACCAACCGAGGCAAACGGACCGACCAATGAAAATGAGAACACCTCATCAAATCTAAAACTTGGGCCGCGCGTTTGGCCTATCCCTTATCCCTTTCCCTCAGATCCACTTGAGCGGACGTCTCCGCAAGGAGTGTCCCAAGGCGGCGTGGCCCCGTGGCTGCAAGGTGTACGCCTGGTCCTTCTCTAACAGGGCCGCGGTACAGCCGACGCCGACCTTCGGCAAGACAAATGTGAGTCAAGGTGAAAGGAAAGGAGGTCGCGACCTCGCTAACGTAAACGAGATGGCCTCGCTACATGAACGGTAATAACGCAGCGCCGCTCATGTTTCTGTGCACCTGACACATTGTTGTTGTCATCAGCTCGGCTATGCTGTCAGTAGTGTGCCCGCATGCAGCTCGAACGCCCATTCCGTCGAACTCAGAGCAGGTATTAATTTCAATCTTGTAGAAGTAGAGTATTTCCGATCTTTCTTGCAGGGTAAAATTGAATATTTATACTCCGGAACATGTATATCTTGCCTCTGTGTGGATTGTTGCCATTGCGCGTGGCGGTTTCAAACAAACATCTCGCATCGAAATTGACCGTGCTTGAAAACGTTGGCATTCACCTTAGCTCTCGTATCTATCATATATCCAAAACCTTTCGGTCGAACTAATGAAGAGCGTCGTACTCTCTGCTCTCTTTTGTCTGTCCATCGCACTCCATTGTAAGTGTACCAAAGACTGTCTGGTGGGTAGTTGGCGTCTTTCTTGAAAGACGAAGGCTCATACGGCGAGCCGCCGCCAACGTTTCCTTCACATTAGCTCTCCTTTGAAGATCTTTAAATTCCGCGTCTGCTGGCGAGTACACACAACCCCCCCCCCCCCCCCCCCCCCCCCCCCCCCCCCCCCCCCCCCCCCCCCCCCCCCCCCCCCCCCCCCCCCCCCTTCCTCCTCCGCCGCGCTCTATCGGCCGCCCCTTTTTTGTGGCTCTGGGCGCCTTGATCCACACGATAGGTTGGTCTAAGCAACTTCTCCGGCCACAACTCGGAGCAAGTGATGTTCGAGTACTGATGGGTGTCGACCTTTGATCAGGTCTGACTAGACCATTGCATTGGCGACGGCCCTACGTCATGTGGCATGTTCGAGCGACGAATGGATGTATCCATGGTGGAGTTAGTCGCTGAGCAAGGAAGAGTGCGGCTCGATGCCAAGAGTGCAGAATAGCAAAGAAAGAATGCGAGGCCGAGTTTTAGAAAAGTTAAGAAGAAGCGCGAGCGGTAGCGCAGAGTTCCACGCTAAGTCCCAACTTCCAAGCATAAATACATATGCAGCAGCAATAAATATGAAAGAGTGTCAGGTCGCGCGTTATTTTGTGAAATCTGATGATCAGCACGCGCCGTGGTAAACAGCATGTTCATGGTGTGGTTGCGTCACTACCTGGTATCTCTCCGCGGCTATTAGCGCAACAGCACCGATTGTATTGGAACCTGGGCCTCTTGTGGTCAATAGGGTTGGTTGCCTATGAAAACAAAGCCGCCCTTGCACGTAGTGTTGGTGTGGTCTCATCGTCATTTTCGTTGAGTCATTGATATTGTGTCATTTTCATTGTGTCATTTTCATTGTGTCATTTTCTTGTGCAACTGCTGGTATACCGAGCCCAAGATTTGTGTTATGCTCCGAGCGTGTGAAGAAGCTCATGGTAGGCGTTTTTCATTTTTTTCATGTATCATACCAGTTGTGTGTTTATTCTCCTATCATTTTCCTCTTGTCCGTCTCTTCTCTAATCCGTAGCTTAACGTATGCACATGTCCTCTCATTTTTTGTCGCTTTTGAGTTTTGCGGTTGTCGCATGTACATACTGCTTTATTTTTCCATAGTCGTACCTTTTTTTCTCTTCCTTGTCCCGGTAACGTCTTGGGGGGGTGGGGAATAGTATACAACACAGTACATGGAATACGCACTCGTTGGTGATACCTCTGGTTCAGTTGATGGGACTGACACCAACAGAGTGGGGGGGGTAGGGAGGGGAGGGGGGGGGGGGGGGGCACNGGGGGGGGGTGCACAGCATAATTGGCAGTTCAAGAGGGGTAAGGGAAGAGACAAAAGGAGAGAACAAGATACACAGAGAGAGATTGAGAGCGTGTGCTGGGAGGAAGACTTGGTGGCATTGAGGCATTTTGGCGACGTCTGGACTTGTAGTGGGTGCCCTGTCAATAAAGTTACTAAAGTCACTAAATGGAGTAGTGCAGTGAGCGTTGGGGTACAAAATATTGCGAGGGGTCGAAATACGTTCGTCATTCATGCACCTTCGGCGTATGTATGAACAGGAGACATGCGAGGGGCTACAAATTGGAGTACTCAGTTGATTTGTCATGGGGTGCATGTTCAGTCCTAGGGCTACAACGCGGTATGATAACATCCAACGGAGGGAAAGGGGACGGGGGGATTCGGGTGATGGGGAGCAAATGGCGTGGGAGCGACGAGCGCGTTGTACGGCGGTGTATGCGTACGACATCCGGAGGGAGCAAGGGGGGCGGACGGGTTCCGTGTGTTGAAAAGGACGGTCGACGTATTGGTAGAGGTAATGAGCCTTCTTTCTTTCTTTCTTTCTTTGTGAAGGGGATGGAACGCGATTCGCATACATGAAGGTCGCCTTGGACGGCGTGATGCGCTTGGTGGCGAATGAAATTTGATCGCTCGGCAGCACACCATCATGTCATGTCATGTCGTCACGGGGTATGGGAAGCAGTCTGTAGACCGTGCTGTGCCTCTCATGTCTGAAAGGTTGTTAAGAGGGTCTGTCCCCTGGGTTGTTCTTGAAGTACTCATGCATGTTTCGCGCTGGTCAGGTTTCTGATAGCAGAGACAGCGAACGGACGCAATCTGTCTCGCGCTTGTTAGATTTCCTGCATGCACGGATGTTGGGTACAAACGGATGCGCGACCTTATGTGTCTTCCGTCGATTCGATCGTTCTCGGGGGTTTCAGCACGACACGATAGACGTACGTCCGGTAGGGCGGACAACCCCCGACCCCGTGGCTCTGATTCCATCCGCCCCTCATGGTTTTGTAGCTCGGCGAAAGCCAGCTTGCGCGCCCGACCACGTTCGTCCGTTCTGTGCTGGCGAGGAAGAACGAGGGGGGCGCGGTTCAGTCAACTTGTGTTGTGTTCGGGTGGTGAAGGTTATTTTTGGCTTTCCTTGAGGGCGGCATTTTGCGAAGGCAGGGGCAGGGGAATGTAACACACACATCCACCGAGCACAAGCGCCCGTGGCGAGTTGTGTTTTGGGTTGGATGCGACCCCTGCCCCCCGATCTCTTTTTAGCCTCCCGCGAGGTACTTTGTTGTACTAGGGGGTAAAAGCTGTAGGCGGGAAGGACATCTTCCTGCAGTTTGTGCTGTCGCCGTTCCGTGAGTCGGTATCGAACTCGTGGACCTTGTAACAGTTACTTCATTGCCACAAGAGAAAGCTGCGTGGTGGCGGCGGAGCGAGCTTCTAGCAATTTGGACGATGATCAAGGACTGCCTTCCCCGCGAGATACTGATTTTCAACATAATTCTGTGGGAGTGAGTGATGGTGCTGCGCTTGTGCTTCTGCTGCGCATCGCATGGGAGGTACCGGGCACGACAGACAGCCGACAGCTACTGCCATAACCTAAAGGTTGCTCACGATGCCACTCAGGCTTGTATACTGACTGTCCATACCCAGCCCCCCCCCCCCCCCCCCCCCCCCCCCCCCCCCCCCCCCCCCCCCC